CCTCCTCCTCTATCACAGTGTTTCAACCCTTGACTGCAATTGACACCATATTCTTGTATCATAGAATTTTGTATCTGTAGCTAAGTCCTTAGATCAAGGTATGAAATAAATAAACCATGCTTTCAGACTGACCTTTTTTATACGCCCACATGGACGATCTTCATGAAACTTGGTTTGCATGTATGTATTGATGAGATCTCAGTCAAGTTCGAAATTGGTAATTAACGGGTGAACTGTTTCAGAGCTATTGCCCTTGGCGTAGTAAAAACACATCAAATTTTCCTTGTAGGCATGGTAGAAACTACGGTTTTTATCCGATCTTCATGAAACTTGGTATGTATACGTATTGGTGAGATCTCAGTCAAGTTCGATAATAATAATAATCGAATGAACGGTTTCAGAGTTATTGCCCTTGACTTAGTAAAACGCGTCCAATTTTGATTGTAGGCACGATAGAGATTACAGTTTTTATCCAACCTAGATGAAACTAGGTATGCATGTATATATCGATGAGATCTCACTCGAGTTCGTAATTGGCAACAATGGGATGAAGGGTTTCGGAGTTATTAATAATCAAAAATATCAATTCATAGACGGCATCATTATACATTAGCACAGTGAACATGAAATATTAAGAAAAAAAACTGTTATATGACCAAATGTACCGTGGCCCAATGGGGACATTTGCATTTTTTTTATTTTTCGACGTTTCTCGAACCACCACGGTTGAAATTAATTACCACCGCGGTTGAAATTAATTTTTGCGATTTCACTTTGAATTTTTTGTGTTTTTCATAATATTTTGGAAAATTTAACTTTTCATGTTTTAACTATTTTTACGATTTTGATTAATTATTGTTTTTATGAATTTTTGTGATTTTTATGTATTTTGTGTCATCTTTCTAATTAAAGTTTCTCTATTTCCCTCCATTCCTTCTATTTTTTGTCGGTTTCTCGAATTTTCACAATTTCAATTCCTGTTTTCTGCAGTTCTTCTGCTCTCAAACCACTGAGAAACGTCGAAAAATAAAAAAAATTGCAAATGTCCCCAATGGGCCACGGTACAAATGAAAGCTTTTAAAAATATTCGTTTTTTGATGTAAAATGTTTTGATTCCCGAATTTGTGCATGACCTTTGGTGCAATTTTAGTTTCGATTTTTTTGTCTTTTCTGACCCAATTCGGACAGTTTGGGAATTCGGAATTTTACACCCACCGCCCAAGAGTCCAATATTTAGATTTCGGGGAAGGGAGGGCTTGATTCTCCCAAATGTACAGGCCTAGGGTGGAGCAGACACTTTATTTAGAAAATAGGATTAAGGGTCTTGATATTGGGTTTTCTTCTGTTCTGATTCTGAAATTAGAAAAAATAACTCGCCAAATGGGCGAGAAGTGTAGTATCTGTTATGCACTGATTGTTTTTAGTTTACTATGAACAATATTATCATTTAAGTTCTTATTTTTTTGAATATGCAACTATAATTTTCTGCTTATAGACATGGGGGGAATTTCTCTTGAAGGCTCTTATAGTGGGCATGAACTATCTTGCTTGCTCGAAAAATAAATCTATGCGATATTGTTACGTTGTAAATGGAGTCACAAATGTCGAGGGTGATATTTATATGAAATACTAAGCACGATTACTGCATATCAAAAAAATCAATCTCACAGATAAATAGAAAATATAATTACTAATTTTTTTCATATTTCGTATGAATTATCCATTAACACACTCATCAACAAATAACATATTGATTACTGTCAAACATTGGTTACAATTCAGTGCTCTTGTTTATTGGAAGTTGCTAATACAGTATACTTGTATATTATTCAGACTTATTTGTAAAAACTTCATTGTTCGATGACTTCATGTCGTAATGTCATTTCGCTCAAATTCGAACGCCAAGCTGGTGACTAAATAGCCAAGGGGCCGTTGGATACCATGCCGGGCATTATCTTTAAACACCATTATCGAATTCAGAGAGTACTTCGGAACGAAAATATAACATTTCCCATGCCACCATAGGATTGTTGTTATGTAATTTATAGTCCAGTGACCCACATTCCACAGACGGTACCTTTCTAATACTAAGACAATAATAAAAGACAATTCAGTTGTATACGTTACTATTATACAATTGTTCATATTTTGATCTACCGTACATACGCTTTTTATTAGAATTAATATTATCGGCAAACTTTTTTTTATATTCTTCTGTACATTTTAAAATGCTGCTTAGGCTTATTATTGTTCAACGTAAACCAAATTTCATAGCTAAATATTTCTGCGAAGAGCGCGGCACTTTTTCAAAATCTCTGTTTCATGTCCAGAGAAACATCAGTACGGGCACGTTTTCCAGGACGAAAATTGCAAGGCTGAGAATTTTGATAAAACGCGAAACAAAGAATGGTTAATTTACATATGTCTGTTCTATAAGCTTACGGTGTGTTGAACGATCTTAAGGCAATGACTTTGATCTTTAAGCAAGATCATTGGTGGTGATTAATCAACAGAATTAAGTTCAGTTACCTTTTGTTTTCATGTGATTTGATCCGGATTATTAATAAAATAAGCGATTATCTAATTGAAGTACTCCCCCCCCCCCCCACCCCCCAACACACACTCTATCCCTAAGTCTGCTATCCACGAACTATGCCCAAGACCAGCCCTCGTCCTCCCCCTTTTGCCCCTCGTACATATAAAGTGAAATATATATTTCCGTCAACGGGGTGCAACTCGTGCCTTGTACTCGGTCATTTCAGTCGGCGACCAGTGAGCTAGACTTTCTATTTATTTTAATTTTAATTTTAAATTAAGTGATAATTACTTGATAATACCTGTAATTTTGATTTAAAAAAACCTTTAAATTACACTTTTCAACAAGGTGATACTTTGAATCAAAACCTTATTGTCACCGCTCTTGGCAAGATTCGTTGATTAACCTCGGTGAAAAGTTTTAAGGTAGAAATTAAAGTTTTTAGTTCAAAATAAAAAGTGAAAAATGTCGTATGTGAGCCACTGTGAACTGTTTTTTGCATGCCTATTTACAACTAATTTATTGGTCTAGATTTTAAATTTGTTGTCTGA